GAGTTACACGGTGTGCCTTTAAGTATCAATACTTTTCTTTTCCCAAATAAAGCTAAAAAAAAACATAATACATTAATTTTTATTTTTTATAAATCGACACACACAGCAAAAGCATATCAATAATCAATTGCGTGAGAAAGTATCACGATACACCACCATATCGATATATCGTCACACTCCTGCATAAACTATTTGCTTTGGTATAAATTATATTGTTATTATCATTATTCGATGCTAACTGTGTTTTCATTGAAGCTAGCTCTGTCGTAGTAAAAGACAGAAGACTAAAGACTGGGGGCCCCAAAAGGAGTCTCTGGAACATTCCACTTCTGATCATAAAGTGATCTCTCCCCCATTTTTGTGAGGGAGAGAATATATACATTGAAAGTGCAGTGAGCAGGGACTTAGAGAGAGACAGGGAGAGAAAATATTATTAACATTTATTGGAACAGGAAAATATATGTTTGACTGGAACTTTTGAATTTAGTTGGTTCTTTTTAATGTCCTGTGATTATTTATGGTTTGAGGGCCTGGTGTCAGTGGCTCCTATCTTGTTTAAGGATTAAGATTAAGATTACAAGATCCTTTTTTTCGCCCCACAGCGGGGAAATTTCAGTGTTGCGTCACAAGTTACAGAGCAGTAGGAAAGAGGTAAAAGGTAGATTCAAAATTACTCTATACTCAAATAAAATAACTAACTCTAGCATCAAAAGAAGCAGAAAAAAATCTCTATCTTTAGCAATATAAGGAAATGAGTCTTAAAATGTCCAACTTTCGCAAGATGAAGAAGCCAGACTTAAAGATATACACAAGGATCTAGGATTAGGAGGACCAATAGTCTAGATGATCCACCCAGGAGTAGAAATCAGAATCAGAAGTAGAAAGTAGAAAAGTAGAAAATCCTCCCATATATAACTTTAAGTACAAAAACCCCTGACTTTTTTTTTTTTATTATGCTAAAGCTAGCGATTTTAACTGAAGCAATATTGAAACTTTTATGATAGTGGACCTGTATTTGTTGTGTTGTATTTTGTCATGTCTGGAAAGCACTTTGTGACAGTCATGTGGTATATAAATAAAAATGATCCTTTGATCCTGACTTTAGCATAACAAAGTAGCAAGTATAAACTCCTGAATATATTGTCAATCCCTTTGCGTCGCCTTGTGTTAGAGCCGTACCATCCGAATAAGCTTCCCTGGCCCTGCTTTTTACATTTCGAAAAGACTCGACGAAAGCTGACAAAACATATTACAGCACCTGCATTGATTTTAAGAGCCACAAACGACTTGGGAGGAACGAGAACTTTCCACTAACGCCGGCCGCCTGTCAGAAAAGTGCTGAATAAGCCCGGCCTCCATCCTGTCCTTACCTCGTCTCTCCTCCTACAGCGGAACGTCACTGGTCAAAACCCCTTGTAAGGAAGCCCATTAAAGACCCCATCAATATTTGATCATCGCTCACTCAGATACATAGTTATAGAAGTTTCCAGGCTAGGGCCATTAGGGGGCAGACGTCAATACCATACGGCCGTCAGCATCTCTGTGCACTTATACTGTACTCTTCTCAGGAGGAGTCATCGGAGAGGCTCTCTTAAGTCAACAGTGGTTTCCGCTACTTCTACATTAAACAAATCATTAACCATTAGGTCTCCGCAAAGCCCCGTGTTCTTTCCTGCTCCGATCCCACGACCCCAGGTGTGGTTATAAGCCCGAAAAAGACAGAGAAAGAAACTAAAAAACGTCTATTGTATGTATGTATCTTAATGTTATTCTTCAATTAATTACTTATTCTGTTTTACTATGTCTTGATGTTTTTATTATTATTATTATTATTATTGTTATTTTTTATTTTTTATTATTATTATTGTTATTATTTTTATTTATTATTATTTTTTTTATTTTATTTTTTTTATTTGAGCCTCTCTGCCCATTACAAGGGGAAAGTGGATATGGGGAACAAAAAGGCCACAAAAAGTAAAGTGTGATGCATGCCAACCAGTGCAAAAGTGTAAATACAATGTAACACTTGAATAAAAAATGTATCACAAAAAAACAAACAATAAAACGTCCCAGTGGGAGAATGTGATTATGGCTGTGTGTGCAGACTGTCGTAAGGTTACAAACGGTGTGGTCAGTGGCAAAACCGGGATCCCATTAACTGCAGCGAGACGCAATAGGATCAGATTAGGTTGAGAGCAAACAAAGCGAAGCAGGAGTCTGTCTTTGTCACAGGAAGTTCAGGAGACTTAACTCTTAACGGCTGAGAGACATCTGCCAGCTTAGGACTATAGTCTAGGAGTCATCAGGAACCTCACGCTTTCCTGTTCCTTTAAAGCTGCACTAACTGACTTTATTTTTGTATACATTACAAAAATTCAACCCATATCCATGCAGTGCATTGGGATATACGTCCTTTTGAAGAAAAAGTAGCTCAAATTTGTGCTGCCGTGTCATTTAATTTTAGATCGAGTTTTTGTGCAACGCGGAAGAGGATGTGTTTCGGGTCCAGATTGTGACCAATCACAGCGGACCACTGGCCCCCACTTTCTTGAGAAAAGCCACAGGTCTCTCGTTAGCACAGACAGCTGAGGCAAACAAGCGGCGGAGGCTAACCTGTGAGCTCTGTATACAATTAGCAGGTGAGCGCAGGCCGAGGGGGAGGGGGGCAGTGGGGGGTGATAGCTCCGTGCGGGGAGGGCGAGCAACAAGAGCGAGCTCACCGCTCACATTCAAACATTTCTCAAAGTCAGTTAGTGCAGCTTTAAGGACATTTATTAATATTTACAGTAATTGGTCGTCTGCCCCTTATGGGTCAGAAGCTCTGTGTTTTTATTGTTGCATTTTCTGTCTTGGAACGGTTTCTCTGATCTGTGTTAGCCAATTGACAACTTATTATGTAGCTTTATACTTGCTTCATTATTATCTTTATTATGCTGAAGCTAGCAATTTTATGCTTGCTTCTTTATTATGCTAAAGGTAGATTTTATACTTGCTTCTTCTTTATGCTAAAATTGGACATTGTATTTTATTTTTATTTTAGTATAGAGTTTTTGTTCTTTTATCTTGTGCTGCGTGCTCCTCATCCCTACTGTTCTATAACCGATGATGCAACACTGACATTTCCCCACAGTGAAACAAATAAATCTCTTAATCCAAAAGTCCTCTGCGATAACTACTGCTGCGATTTAGGCCTGCGCAAAAATACATTGAGTTGAAATTTAATCGACTTTCTTAGAATCGAAAAGTTTGGAGTTTGGAGCCTTTTGGGGAGAGTTAAATTCCATAATCCTGATTTCTAATTATAAGTGCCACATTATGGGATGGAGGCTGCAGGCTGAAGAGTGTGTTAAATACTGCTGTTACAGACATTTTAACGAGACCCCCAAGAGCATGCGTTGCTCCTACTGTCGTGTCCTTGAAAACTAAAAAGGTCCTGCTAAATGCATTTTACCTTAGGAAATGTGAGATGTCTCTAAAGGTCAGGTTTTAATGCAATCACAGGCTGCCAACTTTATATGAATGTAAATAACACCTTTGGACCTGCCAGGGCTGAGATCGCTGACCGCTTTCTTTTTTGCACACGTTCAACATTTTCACAACACAAACTAAAGACAAATATCTACACGTCGTAAATAAATATTATCTCACAATGTCCATGTTTTTAATGAGCAGCTGTCGTTCGAGACCAAACAGAGAAGAGTTCAGATGCAAAAACAGATATCTCCATTTTAAAATGTTGTCCAAATGTTGTCTTTCTTTAGTTACAATCATCAACATGTTCTGTTATTGGCAGTATACTTGAAGGAATTTGCACAAGAATGGGTGCAACTTTATCTGTATGGCACTAAAATAGATCTGGCTTTTCACAAAACTACTTGGTAACGAGAAAATTGTAAGCTTTTCCGATACGTTTCCATGGCACTTATCTGTTTTTGCCTATAAACTATTCTGTATATATATGGATTTGAATTGATTTTATTTTAGTTATTGTATTCTTATTATTATGTTGTGTGGTAAAGGTTAAAATTACATTGAAAATAATCAATGTGCGGCAAATAAAAATCATATAAACCTCCTATTATTAGATATACATACAATACTTTAGTTTTTTTATATAGTTATTTAGACAAAAGAAATATTACCTTTAACAATGGATCAATAATTGTTCATATTAATACAATGAACACATTATAAATACCCATATGTCCTTAAACGTCGCTGTATTAGATTTACAATACACCATTTTTGTATTATGACCAATATTATTATTATTTATCATTTATTAATGTTATCTACTCCGACAATCTTCAAATCCAGGTTAAAACAGTTATTCTTCGCTGTGCATACAACAGAAAGAGCAAGTCCTAATGTAATGTACTGTGATAGTTTATGATTTGATTTTTGTTTTTTACTATTGTGAGAAACTTTTAGAATTATTTTTATGTTTTGTTTAAATGGATGGATGTGTTTCTGCTGCTGCACACCTGGATTTCTCCAACGGGGATCAATAAAGTATCTATCTATCTATCTATCTATCTATAATATATATGTGTTAAGCATTTTGAGTGGCCTTGTGTATGAACTTTACTACACACAAAAAACGCACCTTAAAATGATTATTCTTTGTTATATTCTTTGTAAGCTCTGAAGGTCTATACAATCAATGCCCACTTTCTTTTTAACATTACCATAGCCTGTATTCGTCCCACAGTGGGTAAATGTCAGTGTTGCATCACCAGTTACAGAGCAGTGAGGAGCACACAGCACAAGGTAAATGAACAATAACTCTATGCTGAAGCAAAACAAAATAAAATCTCTAACTCTTGCTTAAAAAACAGCAGTATAAAATCTCTATCTTTAGCATAATTGGGAACTGCAAAAATCTCCAACTTTAAGCAGCGCTCTTATTCTTGTTAAACACTTTGAACAAGCCAAAGCACAGCATATATACATTTGTGTACGTGTGTGTGTGTGTGTGTGTGTGTGTGTGTAAAACTCACCAGTGTGCAGAAGCGCTCAGGCGGGTTGCCACATGTGATTCCGGGCGGATCAACCTTGATGCGCATGTAGTCTTTCATGGCGGCGGGTTTGGGCTGGCAGGCGTAATGCTCCCACACCGAGCCCTCGTCCGTGCTCACCAGGGACTTACAGAGTTCGTACTGGGCCCACGCAGAGGCCAGGCATCGCAGTAGCAGCAGCAGCGCCACTTGTAGGGACATGGCAGGGACCAGGGGACACACAATGGGGGCTGTGTGGTGGTGGTGGTGGTGGTGGTGGTGGGGGTGGCAGACTCACTGGGCAGGGGGTGGTGTCTGGCATGGATCAGAGGCGAAGGGAAATTTCTTCTTTTGCCATGCTTCTGCTGGTGATGTATGTGCAAAGTAAAAGCGGTAAATCCCCCGAAAAAAACAAAAAAAACAAACAAATCTACGGATGTACTGCGTATATAGGGCCTTTGGAGAAGCGAGTCCCACACTTGTCACTGGAGAAGCGAGTCCCGCAGGATCAGCGCCGGGTTACTTTTCGTTATTTCCTGAGCAGAATGAGCGCCGGCTTGAGTTACACGCGTGGAGCTGGGCATGCACTTTGACCATAGCGTTGTAGAGGTCATCGCACTTCACCAGAGAGAGAGAGAAGAGAAAAGGCGGCGAGTGGAGTGGAGGGGATGGGGATGGGGATCAGAGCCACGGAGCAAGGGGCGCGCTGGAGTCTTGGTTTGGGTCTTTGGGTTTTTTGGATGCGTCCATTGATGTCTGTGCGGAGCTGCTCTGATTGTCCTGGGGCAAAATGAGGACACACAAGATGAGAAAGTTAGACGGTGTAGTCTAAAGGAACGTAAAACCCTCCCTGTAAGCGTGTGGGAAGAGGTCATTTGCGAAAAACAGATATGTACGTTTTGAATATTTGTCAAAAATGTGTATTCCTCTATTCACAATCTTTAAATACAATCTTAAAATCTTGATCTGCCCCTTGTGGACTAATGGCTCTACGTGTTATTTAATCATTGCATTTTGGTGAATAAACAGCTTTGTAATGCCCTCTGAGATAACTACTGTATGTGATTTAGGGCTATACAAAAATGCATTGAATTGGCAATACATTTTAATGTTTTTTGCTCAAAGAAGGAGCAAAATTTTTTGTGTGTGGCACTAAAATACATCTGGCCTTTCAAAAATCTACTTGTTAAAAGGGGAAATTCTAAGTAAGTAATTATTATTATTTTTTTCCAGTGGTACTTATATGTTCTACTTGTGTTGGCTTGAGAAATCTTTCAAAAAAATAAAAATAATAGTTCCCATGACCTACATTGTGCGAAACCAATGACATTTTTACGCACAGATCTTGCCAAATCTAATGCACGCATGGAAGAAACATCTGCACATAGTTCTGAGAAACTTATAGGGAGGTGGACGTACTACAGCCTGCAGAGAGTGAGTGCCATAGCGCAATAAGTCAAATTCAACAAATACTATAAAAGGAATCAGATCCAGTGTCTTCTTCTCTGCTTCCCAAACACACACAACGGCGTAACTTTTTACCCTTTTCTCTAAATTGCATATTCTTCTTGTGAACTTCAGACCTTGTGCACTGGTCCTGTCCCATCCAAGGCCGTGGAGATGAGAGTTCAGCATCCGAGTATAACAACTGCTATTTCCTGACTCTAGGGGTGTGTCTATAGAGCCTACTACAGCAGCGCATCCCACGGCGCAAACTACACTACACTGCTCTTCGCAACAACAACAAAAAACACATAATTACCCCGTATAGTGACGTCCAAAACTTCCCACACTTGCCATAGAGCCTAAAGATGACCACATAACTATTCCACAGCCTCCGAACTGCTCCAGGATCCCCCTCTTGGTGCACTGATGCGCACAAGATAGGCACTTACTTGCAAAGATCATCCGAGAGATAGTGCCTCACTTCTTGCAACTCCAGCCCGCGCACTTCACCCCGTCCTGCACTAGATTACCCCCCTTGAATGTCAATGTTCCTTCCCGGGCTAACTCCTGTCTGACAGACTGGACATCGGGGTTTGCTGTTTGTTGTTTCCGTCCACGGGATACTTTTCTCCCGCGCCACGCTTCGTTGCGCACCGCTGATTACTGTCCTAGATCTGGAGACGGTCCGTGGGAGGGAAAAACAGGACTGAAATCCAGCGCCAAGTAGTATCAAAAAGTATAAAATATTGACTTTGTTGGAGAGGCTTGTGCCCGCCCTTTTTGGCCCGTCTCCTCCTCCCCTCGCCACTTTAAGCTCGGGTTTACCAGGGATGCTCAAGGGCAGAAAGAGAGAGAAAAATGGTTTATGGAAAATATCTCCTCCCTACTTCTCCTCCCCTTCCTCCCTCTCTCACTCCCTCACAGTTAATGCCCGGCTAAATCCTTTCACCATCGCGTTCAATCACTATCTGCGCGTTATCTGCCCCTCTGCCTGCTCCTGGTCCGGGGCGGTCCCCTCTGCTGTTTCCGAACTGTTCCCAGCGCAGACTCACGGGGACGCATCTCTTCCTACGCCCCTTCGCTTGGATGGAAGAGTCCCAGCTGGCTCTGCTTATAACCATGTTTCATATGCGTCTCTGTGCGTGTGTACATAGACCTTTGTTGTTTTATTTATCAGACACGGACCAGTGTGAAAGACACCAGCGCATATCATTAGTCTTTGTGTTGTGCTCCACAATGGTTCCAGTATTAATCGAGGATTATCTAGGATTACACCGGCTCTGAACTTCCCAAAGGTTCACTGAGAGCTGCGCGGTCCGTGCTGTTGAAATGCTGCTTTAGGAGTTTGCAGACTTTTGGGCTTCAAGGACACGTGACCTACAGGAGAAACTTAATGTGGGTTAAGGTATACTTTTACACAATAAAAACATAATCAATTAAATTCAATTACATGTATTTTTGTAAAGCCCTAAATCACAACAGCAGTAGTTAAGGAGGATTTTACAAAGTTGTCGATTCACCAATAACAGATCAGAGAATCACACAGTTCGCACACATGAAATTCAATAATAACAAACACATTGAAGCCATTGAGTGGGATGACTGTCCATAAACACATACTTGTAAATAAATATCCATATACATGTCTTTTTATGAATATTTATATTTATACACAGTGGAAAAGGTGAGAAATTTCAGGGAGGCCCATATTGAGGGGGATCAGCTCCCAATGACAGACAGACTGAGGCTGTAGACCCAGGACTGAGGCTGTAGACCCAGGACTGAGGCTGTAGACCCAGGACTCAGGCTGTAGACCCCGGACTCAGGCTGTAGACCCAGGACTGAGGCTGTAGACCCAGGACTGAGGCAGCATCCATGAGGAAGGGGGGGATCAAAGAGGCTGGAGTCAGGGGTGATGGGACCCTTGAACACTCTCCTCAACAGCGGGTGGATAGCAATGAACAGACTACAGCTGAATATTACGATGACCGCCTATCGATGTCTGATAAAGTAGGAGAGAGGACACACACACGCTGCCTTTACTGTCACAAACCTGACTCATGTCCTGGAGGAGGGCCACTGTCTGTGTGGCTTCACTTTCTCTATGCACGTTCCAAAAAGTTTAATCATGCAACATTATTTCAATCAATCAATCTATATTTGTAAAGCACATTTGTAACAGCCCAGGCTTACCAAAGTGCTGTAGAGACAAGTGAAAAACAGTACAATAAAAACACATACAGTAAGAATACACACATATAAATACATACAGATAAAAAACACACGACAGTAGCTCAGTTGGTAGAGCATTGGCCTTAAGGCCAGAAGGTCGTGGGTTCAATTCCCACCTCTGCACCTTCTCCACCGACTCCCACTGATGACTGCTGTCGTTGTGTGTCGTTGTGTCCTTGGGCAAGACACTTAACCCCACTTTGCCCAAAGCCCCCACTGAAAGATCAAGGCTATGCTCACACTCAGAGAGCAGCCGTCCTCCTGTGGACTCACCACCTGCAGAGGGTCAGTGAGGGGCTGGTGCCACCCCCCTGACCCAGAAATGGATTAAAGGGTAGAAAATGGATGGATAAAAAACAAAAACCTTGTCACTTGCTACAGTACCTGATTATTTATCATGACATGTCAGGTGTGATTACAGACCAAATTAATGTTTTTTAGATCTTCTTACAAAAGTTTCTGCCCAATTCTTTTTTGGGTGTATTTCAGTCAATGTAATATATGTTATTAACCAAACAATTAACCAAAATAAAAATCAAATCATTTCAAAAATAGAAAATAGAAGAATGGCTAACAATAATAATAATAATGAATTTTATTTACATTACATTTCCAGAAAACCTCAAAATGCTACAGATTAAAATACAAAACCAAAAACAAACAAAACAAAACAAAGCAAAAGTGTCATAAATACATCAGAAAGAAACATGAAGGGGTTAAAAAGCTCATAAAATCCCTAGTCGGCCTGATTAAAAAGGTTTCAAGCCATTCAGGGCTAACGGCAAATGATACTGAACAAATGGGTTCAATCGTCACTTCTAATAGTATTGTACATGACATATTAATTTTCTCATTTTTACTTTTTTACTTTTATATAAGAATGGGTTAGGAGATTATAAGTTTATAAGACAGCTCCTGTTCTTCCTTTCATGGAATGTATTACTGTTGTATTTGCTGGATTATTTTTATATTTTGTTGCATTACCGTGAAAAAAGGGAATAAAATAAATGCATAAATACAATAGAAATAAATATATCTTGGAAGAAAGAGATATATTTTACCCTTTTTTAAATGTTTGCAAACTTCCTCTCTTTTTGTCTATTAATGCCGAATATAACGTGTACATTTCTTCATTGTGAGATCAGTCAAGTTTATCTTATCTTAATGGAATAGTTGAAAACGCAGGTATTTTGTTTTATCTATACCAGACAAATACCACAGCGTTTATACGAGAAGACGGTATGTAAGTCTGCTGTCGAAAAACATGTCAAGGTGATAACTCCGCTATCGAGCATTTGTCTGGTAATGAAGAACAAAATAACTTCATCTACTCATAAGACACGATGAACCTTCCAACACTCAAAAAAGAAAACAGATAGATGTAATTCATGCTGTAAGCGATATTCAACTCTGGTCAAAAGAATTGGACCAGAACGATAGAGCAGAGGTTACACGGACCTGCGCAGTTCAGGCCGAAGCTTTATGAAACACGGCAGGAATCGATAGTTGGTCTTCGCAGGGCCTTCCCCACATTTTTGTTTGTT